GGGATCAAATGGACAGTCCTGGGATCAAATGTACAGTTCTAGAACAGAGAACCCGTACATTAAAAGACTTATTCAAAGGGGTGGGGGTGAGTAGAGGTTCTGGAAGATATTCAGCGGACTTTTCATCAGGTTGCAACATGTCGACTCCTCGTTGGCTACTGAAGAAGGGGACGGAGCGCATGTGGCAATGTCCAGCGTGTAATGGTGTAAATTATTGATTCATTCATTCACATGTCTGTCTTTACAATGTGTGTGTGTGTGTGTGCGTGCGTGCGTGCGTGTGTGTGTGTGTGTGTGTGTGTGTGTGTGTGTGTGTGTGTTGAAGCTTCTTTGTTTACCGGTTGTAAGCGAAAATTGCTGATTGTTCGTCCGTTTGAACTTTGGCTTTGTGCCAGAACCTAAGTTGTGCGTGTACATCTGTTTTATTGGCTTATTTGTGTGCGGTTGGTTGTTCCTTGCCGCTCGGGCAGATGCACTGCGATTTTAAAGGAAGTTCCCCCCCCCCCACCCCCAATTAGCCGACTCCATACTGGAGGGAAAGGTCGAGTGTAGCAGAACAAGCGGTAAACAATGAAATAAGTGGGAGGACAACATCAAGAGATGGACGAACATCAGTCTGAGAGAGTGTACAGCCTAAGACAAGAGACTGATCGTGTTGGCGATCCATTGCAGCCAACCTTCATTGTGAAGACGACAACTCATTGATTGAACCACAGTTTAGGACAGAACGCGTGAGGGAAGCTCACCTGGGACTGAAAGAGTTTAGCCCTGTTGTGTTAGTGAGTAATATTTTAGCCAACTACCCTTTTTGTTATATGGTTCTGGCTATAGTTCTGTTTTGTTAGGTCAACGCTGCACATTGTACATTCCCTTGTGTATACAGCTCTCCAGTGGAGAAGTCACACAAGATACCTCTACTGACTGTTCCCATCAGAAGCTGGTTATAATGTCCACTGTCTTGACCTAGAAAACAGCATAAAAGTCTTCACTCCCATGTTACTTAATAGGGTTAGCGTGAGAGATTCGTATTTGTTAACCTCTCTAGCCTTAGAACCGGCCTATTCAAGCGGCCCCGCAAGTGGCCCAGTGAATCATTGCCAGTTGTATTATGTTAATTATCTTTCTATACAAGGACTAGGGCTTCTCGCATGTGACCATCCCCGTTTTTATCATGTTTACCCCTGAGTAAACTTGGTGGAAAAGCCCTCTTGTACAGCATCAATTATTTCAGCCATGTCCGGTTTTTTTTTCCTGTTTGTATCGTTTGTTTCACTGAGGTCGGAATCCAGTATTTCTTTCATAACTCGGACACTAATAAACATATAGCAACAAAATATGGAGTGGACTTACCTGCTATCGTGCAAAGTCGGGTGACATCATAACAAATGCTGGAAATGGTCATCACTGGCGTCCAAGCAGCAAAACATCGCGTGTCCTTGAGTCGCGCCCGTTTATCAGCATTTTCTTTATTAGTGTCCGAGTTAAAAATAGAATACTTGGTTCTACCCTGAGTGAAACACCCGATATAAGTGCATTACTTACCAACTGATCCCCTTGTTCGTTACAATTGACCTGGTATGCCTAAATGTGTAGATCCAAGGCCGGAAGTGCGACTTCATTTATAGTCAAAAAATCCTAAGGGAGATAATCAAAACACCAAACACCATCGTGATGGCATCCAGAGGCACAGTTCTCCCTGCTGCTTAAGTTTGTTTCACCATGTTCCTGTTGTGTCGTTTAATCATCATGTAGGGTTCCCATCCTATCCCCCTCCCTCACACACCCCCCCCCCCCCCACCCAATTCATTTCCATTATGTGAAATTTAAAAAAAAAAAAATTTTTATATATCATAAACTAATCCAGTCTAGCACCTCTGGCTGCTCCCAGCAACATTAGTGTTTCGTATGGTTTCATTTAGATTTTCTACTATCAGTCGGCTCTGTGGCTAAGTCGATGCGAACGCTTCGCTTCGTAATGCCGGGATGCCAGGTTCGATCCCAGCTGCGGGCATTGCGCCTTGCGTTGGTTTCGACAGTGGTATCAAGAAAGCCGACCGTCCAGCAAGCAATGGCAAACTACTGGACGTAAATTGCCTAGAGAAATCACACAACAGCCAGGGGCTGTTAGGGTTGGTTCTGCAACGTCCTGTAAAGGATACGCAACTAACTTAACTATTCAATCCTTACGTCTTTCTCAGGACGTAATTTTTTGTTATTTGAAGCCCCACTCTGGCTTTTGCCAGGGGCCGCAATATAGGCAGGCCATAAAAATGGCCAAATGTCTGAACGCGGTTTCTGGGACCTCTCCACGGTGATCCTCATCCACATGGTGGCACATTGTGTCATCGGGTGTTTATCGCTTGTGTGATGTCCTAGTGGGGTAGAAAGTCACTCACACTCACTCATTTAGATTTTTTAGTAATTATATCCAATTTCGTCCTTTTCAGGACGAAATTTTTTGTCATTTGAAGCCCTACTCTGGCTTTTGCCAGGGGCCGCAATATAGGCAGGCCATACATATGGCCAAATGTCTGAACGCGGTTTCTGGGACCTCTCCACGGCGATCCTCATCCGCATGGTGGCACTTTGTGTCATCGGGTGTTTATCGCTTGTGTGATGTCCTGGTGGGGTAGAAAGTCAGTCAGTCATTTAGGTTTTTAATCCAATTTCGTCCTTTTTAGGACGAAACTTTTTGTCATTTGAAGCCATACTCTGGCTTTTGCCAGGGGCCGCAATATAGGCAGGCCATATGTGTGGCCAAATGTCTGAACGCGGTTTCTGGGACCTCTCCACGGCGATCCTCATCCACATGGTGGCACTTTGTGTCATCGGGTGTTTGTCGCTTGTGTGATGTCCTGGTGGGGTAGAAGTTCAGTTCAGTTCATTTAGATTTCTATTTATCTCTCAAACCATTTGTTTCTCATTTCAGTATGTGTTCCTTACGTCCTTCTTAGGACGTAATTTTTTGTTATTTGAAGCCCCACTCTGGCTTGTGCCAGGGGCCGCAATATAGGCAGGCCATAAATATGGCCAATTGTCTGAACGCGGTTTCTGGGACCTCTCCACGGTGATCCTCATCCGCATGGTGGCACTTTGTGTCATCGGGTGTTTATCGCTTGTGTGATGTCCTGGTGGGGTAGAAAGTCAGTCAGTCAGTCTCATTTCAGTGCTTGTTTTGCGATTTTCTGCCCGCTTCTTTTCAGGATTTGCCCAGTGTTTTGCCATCTTCTCTGTCTTATAGCTGTTGTTAGCAGTTATTGTGTGCTTGTTTGATCGTAGTTATTTAAAGTGGACAGCTATTTATTGTAGACGATTTTGTAAGGCTGAAGAGGGATCAGACTGTGCTGTTAACGTGACACTGGGAGCGTAGGTGGGTGTCCGTGCTGTCAAACTTTCCAGCAGCAGATGCTGAACGAATTGCATGAGTGAAAGTGACAGGATGCTTGCTAGACAGCGTTGCAGAAAGATAACGAGAGAGAGAGAGAGAGAGAGAGAGAGAGAGAGAGAGAGAGAGAGAGAGAGAGAGAGAGAGAGAAGGGGAAGCAGGAAATATAGTATAAGAGAAAATGTAAGAGAAGATGTTTGTAAGCACAACATGAAGGATACAGGTATTGATATAGATTCATGAACCGTGTTGTGTGTCGGGGGTACATGCTATAATTATAGGGCACCAAGCCAGGATGACGGCTAAAGCGAGAGCCAGTCCTACCGTCACCCACGTGATCTTCCTTAAGGTTGGGAATGTTTACAAAGGTAAAATCAACAAGATCGCATATGCTCCATCAATACTTGACTGTGCCTGGGACTGGTTACTAACTGTCGACCTGCCTGGTTTCGAGAGGTACCCAGAGTCGATCCGGAAGACCGTGCTGAGATCAGACATGGTCCTGCACTCTGCGAAAAAAAAAAACGCCAGCTCATCTTGATTAAGCTGACCGTGCTGTACGAGTCCCGGATGGAAGAAAACCACCTGTATAAGCTCGAAAAATCCGGTGAGCTCGTGGCCGGTCTCTGAAGGGAGACGAAGCGTACGGAGTAAAAATCTTCGCCTTAGAGGTAGACGCAAGAGTTTTTATCTCCACTTCCACGTACAATGTGCTAAAGCAGCTGGGCTCGCTAGGAATCAAGCGTAAACGGTCATTAAAACAGTGGGGTGAAGCTGCTGAAGGAGCTTCGAGCTGGCTCTGGACCAAACGGAACGTCGTGGGGGATGGGCCTCGGTAGACTGGTCCGAGTCCCAAGTGGAAAAGAATGTCTTATCCCTTAAAATATCTGCCAGTGTCTCTCTACCAAATGGCAAAGTCTAACAATAGTCCGATAAACCAACAATTAGCTTGTCACCCTGGTCGTAAAGGTAGTCAACTGATCTAATTTGCTACCGCAGCGACAATATAACACTAAATTTCACAGCACCTGTTGCAAAGTCACCATATAGTCTTGTATCTATCGAATCCGATGAAGTGCAGCAGGGGAAGATCGGAGTCTGGTTGCAAAACCCAGATGGGCCCACCTTCCAAGATTGTTTAGGGAAGTATGGGCCGAAACAATTGTCGAAGAAGGATCTCTACTGATGATCGGTGGACCCTGCTGTGCATGCTTCTTCTTATTATAAAAGACTTTTCTTAACGCGGGCTGGTCTTGCTAGTCACACTCACCATCGACATGGGCCGTGAGTCCCACGCCTCCTCCCAGCCCAATATAACACTATCGTCTGGAAACATATAAGTGTACCAATCAATCAGTCGTAAGAGAAAATGTGTAAGAGAGGGAAAGAAAGAGTTAGGGATATGGTAAAGTAGATATTTTTTTAAAATTTAGATTATGTGTCTGTTTGTGTGTGTTTGTGAGAGAGAGAGAGATAGATAGAGAGAGAGAGAGAGAGAGAGAGAGAGAGAGAGAGAGAGAGAGAGAGAGAGAGAGAGAGAGAGAGAGGCCTGTACAGATAATGAAAAGAAGATAATGTTCTGACCAACTTTTATATTTGATTTTTCGGTTACTAGGGTGTCGGACATGTCTACTGGCATTCTGGAGATGCATTGTGGGAAACTCAGACTACCGGATGCGAAGAGTGGAGTCAGCTGACCCGGAAGCTGGCAACAGTGTCAGCGACATCGACATGGTGTCCAGATTTGTGTTTCCGCTGACCTTTGGCCTGTTCAACCTCTGCTACTGGTTAATGTATTTTTACCTGGAGGTCAGCTGACTAAACGAATATCCCAGCATCAAATACACTGACTATCTATAAACATTACCTCCACCCCAGCACACCGACGAATACAATAACTATGGCGGGGGGGGGGGGGAGGCCTCAGACCCATTATACATTTTAGGAATGATGAGGGTCAAGGGGCCTCATCCTTGTTAGAGTATGGAATTATTGTTATTATTATGATCCAGTTCACGTTTCCCAGCCCATGTACACACTGGCTGTCCTTTTATTCATGCTTTCTCAGACTGGTCTACGTTAGAAGGGTGTCACGTTGTCTTGCTTCCAATTACATCGGCGCCTGTGTCGTGTGTTCTATATACTACATTATGACACAGCTTTTAACGACATCTAGAACTGGCCTTAACCCAGCACTTCCCCCCCCCCCCACCACCACCCACAGCCTGGGCCTAGATCACACGAGAGGTTCTTAACGAAGAAAACAGTACAACGTGACATCCCTCTGACCTAGAGGAGACTGAGAAAGTGTGCAGATGGGCCGGAAAACGTGATCAGGTCTATGATTATTATTATTAATATTATGAGCTGATAAATAAAATGATATATTTAAAATAATGTGCAATCCTATTGTTTTTAAAAACGAAAAACTTCTACGCATAGTCGTGGGAAAGGGGGGGGGGGGTGGAGCCTACCCTTACATTAAAAATGGTAGGGGTCCCTTCTAAAAATTAGGGTTTGGGAGCTAAGCCTTCAGGTACCAACACCCCTGCCTCTCATGTCACAGACAGTTGTCCTCGTATCGCTTGGCCTGCTTCAAGGCTATTCAACTGGCGGCCCGCGGGCCAAATCTGGCCCTAGTAGACCTAACAGGTAGCCCGCTGATTACCCGCCAGTTGTATTGTATTAACGCTCTTTCTTAATTGGAACTGGACCTCTGGCCCGTGATGATCCCAATTTTCCGAATTCTGGCCCTTAGTTGAATAGCCCTGCCCTACTTGCTACTTTAAAGGTCAAGGACGCCTGTGACATAGTGAGTATGTGTTGCTAGACCAGCGGTTCTCAGCTTGTGGATTGCGACCTTTTGGGTCGAACGACCTTTCATAGGTGTTGCTTAAGACCATCGTAAAATACGTATTCATTTAAATTATAAAGTAGTAACGAAAATAATTGTATGTTTGGGAGTCGCTACAACATAAGGGAACTGTGTTAAAGGGTCACGGCTTTCAGAAGGTTGAGAGCCACTGTGGCAATCCTATTTTTGTTATAGAACTATGGGCACTTAATGTGTGATGCAGTCAACATTGTGCCGGCCACTTTTACTTCTAAGGACATTATCTTGAATGTATTGTAGGTGGATGGTTATGAACAAAATCCGCCTTGCTGCGGATTTGGAAGGCTGTCTTTCCCAAAGTTTTGTGTTTTAATGGTACCGGTACTTAGTCTTAGTAAATTTAAATAATATAACTGCGAGATAATGAGAAAGAGACTGAAAGAGGGACAGATAAAGAGGGGGGAGATAGAGAGAGCCAGCGCGCGCGTACAACTGGAATAAAATGTTTTAAAATAAAACATGATTAGGATGGAAGAATTTAAGAAATGTATGCAGTGTGTAGAAGAATCAATAAATGTACCGTAATTTAGTCTAGAAAGAGCTACGATTTTTTCCCGCTGAACATATACGTCCGAGCAGATAAACAAAGACACGTATACATATGAAGCAAATCCAAAATACAAGACCATGGGGCATCTGTATTGAAGATAAAGACAGTGCGCAACTGGATCTTTAAACAAAAACAAAAACACAAAAATCAGCGACATCATGAAATAAAGAAAGAAATTTAACAACATTTTGCTTGCAGGCAAACATTAACTTTAGATGTGTAAATCTTGTTAAATATATATATATATATATATATATATATATATATATTTGTGAATCGTATGTGCACAACATTGATTTTTCTTTTTTCTTTCTATTATTCATTGTCAGTAGCTTTAACATTTGTCAGGAATGTTGTTGAATTAAAAATCGACATCAGAGCACTCGGGACACTTCCATAAGTGCTTTGTCCCCATCTTCAGCAGCAAGCAAAGAGTTCCAGTTCCGTTTCATCTTTTTCTTGAGTGCTGAGCGTCGGCCAGTTCCTCTGGTAACTCCCCGCAGCGCCATTAACCTTAGACCTTATTGATCTGTTTGTGCCTTCGCACTGTTCACTCGCTTCCAAAAGGCCCTTACATCCAACTTATCAAACATTGATTCAGCACCAAGTGGTGCAGAACCGACGAGTCTATCTGCCTGCTCATTTCCCAACACACCAGCATGACCTGGAGAAAGGATGCTAATGACCTGGAGAAAGGATGCTAACGACCTGGGACCTCTGAAGTGATGCTTGCCACTCTGCACGAAGCATGCCAGTCTGTGTTTTTTTTTTTTTTTTCTCCAACATTCACCATGAATCGCGAACCAACAAACAAATGAGCGGAAAGATCACGTAGAACATATTTTCCTTTATTTCCGTTGTGTGTTGCCATCTTTCGGGTACTTGTTGCTTTGAAGGCTTTGAAGGTATTTTGACTTCTTCTGTCCCGTATTATTTTAATTCCCTAAAACCTAGACATTCTTCTTCTTTCTCGCGTTCCCCTGATGTAAACTCCGGCGGAAAGTTCTAATTGTTTGTCAATTTCTGGATATTAATCTAGTACCAGAACTTGAGTTTTGCGTCCACACCAGTCTTACAGATTTAGTTTATTGTAAGCAGACTGTTAGTTCCTCGCCTCTCATGCAGATACATTCCGACTTAGAAAAACAAACACCGATTTTAAACAAAAATATTTTTTTTTTTTTTTTTCATTTTTTCATTTTTTTCTGTCAGAAACTTTAAATACCAGTCACTGCAGACTGAAATATGTCAGCTTTTTTATTGTAACATTCCTCACCCACATTGGACTAAAAGTTACTTTGTAAATGACGAGTTCCCTTATATAACTAAACTCTGCTATAGGGCTGAACAGGTTTCTGAGAACTGTACATTATGGATTCTCGCCCAGACAGTAGTTGTTTAAGTCACTAGGTGTAAATCAGAATAGTATCTTGCAGGGGAAAATATTCCGGTATGACTGATAGGATTGAGCGGTCCAGATCTTCTCCAGTCCCTCATAGTTTGTCTTGTAGGACTAATTTCCATTCTTTGTCAGGTAATTTCTGGGCACGCCTTCTAACCTGCTCTATAGTTAGCCTTGGTGATCAGCTGCAAGTGGCAATCCCTGACACCATTCTGTGAGGGAGTGCTCTGAATCTTTGGTGGCCTGTTTTTGAGTCAGGAGATCTTTGTTTGCTAGTTTCAGCAAGTAAGTATGTAAGCAACGGACTTTTTTCCATCAGTGGTGCATCTGGCATATGATGCTAAACTTATTTTTTGTAATATATCAACTGCCACCAAATGGTTAATGTGGTCACCATCACATTAGCTGCTTTACATCTCATGACATGTCGTGGTTCACATTTCTGGCTTTTGTTCAATCAGTTACATCTCATGACATGTCGTGGTTCACATTTCTGGCTTTTGTTCAATCAGTTACATCTCATGACATGTCGTGGTTCACATTTCTGGCTTTTGTTCAATCAGTTACATCTCATGACATGTCATGGTTCACATTTCTGGCTTTTGTTCAATCAGTTACATCTCATGACATGTCGTGGTTCACATTTCTGGCTTTTGTTCAATCAGTTCTTTAATCAGATATTAATTTTATTTGGGTCCCACTTTTTTTCACAGATGCGCAGTGTAAAACTTTTGCATTTCTTACTGTGTGGAATATTATGTTCATACAATTTATGCTTTCATATTTGCAGTTTGTTATTAAGGGATACAACATTTTAAAATACTTGTTGATGTGATCCTCTACACACAATTTTGTGTGTGTGTGTGTGTGTGTGTGTGACTATTGTAATATATTTCTTAATCCGGCTTTGAAGTTCTCAGAATTATGTAAGTTCGAAGTTTTCCACAAATTTGTTGTAGTCCGTCACATTAGTTCATATATTCCATTGTTGATATCATTTGTTGTTCATATTTCTTGTCGTCCAGTAAATTATGTATATTATATTATGTTATTTTTCTTCCAATATTCATCACAGCCACAATCTTCGGTAACAGTCTCCCATGTGGTGGTCGTGGACACAAACGGAAACATGATTTGTTTTTACACATACAAAAACCTCAGCTTTAGAATGCAATACCTTTTTTGTGTGATTCTATTATTTATAAATTATAATAAGTTCTCCAGTAGTATTTATTTCCGGTAGTCACACACGTGTCAGAGATTTAATTGGACAGACAGATGTGTGATTCCTCTTGGAGACACTTCAGTTAAGTGACTGTTCTTGTTCTAGTTTATGGTACTGCATACTCATGTTGTGTGCTGGTGAAGGCTCTCTAGCCAGAATGTTTTTTTTTTTTTTTTTTGGGGGGGGGGGGGGGGGGGGGCTTTTGTTTGTAATAATGTGAAGTTGACTGGGTGTATTTTTAGTTTTGTTTCAGATCTTTCTGGCTGTTTAAAAGTATAAGTTCCATGTCTGACCTTTAACAAGAAGGGGTCCACAGGTTTTAGATAATTGGGACCACTGATGTATACGGTAGTACCTCGATGTACGAATTACTTACTCCACATACAAACTTTTCGAGATTGAAACTTTTTCATATCCGATTTCAACCTCTACATACGGACCAAGAATTGAGATACAAGTGCGCATGATTGTTGTCACTAAGTCACCATGTATCTCGAATGCGACTCAAAGTGTGGTGTCTGCGACACATGCTACACGCACTGTGTCTGAGGAACTCACTGGCAGGACCTGACAGCAAAATTGACATTGTAGATACAGTTGTGTCTTTTGGCAAGACCATTCATTTGCAAAGACTATGAAGCAGGGTCACAGTGGAGCTGGCATAGCAGTATAACATTGAGCTGACCACTGAAGAGCTACAAGAGTTAACAACAGAACAGGAAGCACTAAAGGGTTGCGTTGAGTCAAG